GCGTGACTCCATCCCATGGGCGCAACACGGATGTAAGGGCACACGTGCTGGGAGCCCATAAGGACTCCCCCGAGCGAGTTGGGGCGGGCAAGTCCAGCGGTGATCGGACACAAGCAAAACAGGGCAACGAGCTCAGAGGGGAGGGGGAGGTGATAAAACACACCCTGGATATCAACCTGGGCAAGACACGCAGGCGGTCCGGGATCCACCTCCAGGGAAACAAGCGAGGCGCCAGTCGCTAGGTCAGCTGAATCGGGAGACTCGAAACACACATTGGGCAATCGGGCGTCGACTATCAAACGTTGCTTGCCGCTCTTTTTTCCAAACGCTGAAACAGGCTCAAACGGAGAGCACCGAAACGCCTCCACTCGAGTATGCCTGCACAGTCGAGGGCTGCGAGGAGTCGCGCGTACCGGCACGGCCTGCCTTGCAACGAAGGGTCAACATGCGGGCGTATCAAAAAACGATGCTGCCACCCTCGCCGCCGCCTCATCTGTAGGCAAGACCTCGTCTTGCAAAAAGCTACAATTACCAGTGGGCAGTACTCCCCGAGCCACGACGTGAGAGCCCGAGGAGCGTCCCCGACCGAATGCAAAGAGAAGAAAGAAACTTCGAGGCTGTCTGTTCGGCGCAGCCTTTGCGCGGCGCCAGCGTTGAACGGGCAGCTCTTGCGGCGGCGATCGCGTTGCCAGGGTGTCCCGCTGCAGGGGTCGTTCGGCCGCTCGCGCCAGGGCGCCCAGCTCCGCAAAAGAAAATGCCCTGGCACGCAAACGACGAATTTTTTGTCGAGCGACAAACACCTTTTCGCCGGTGTAGCTGCGCTTGGCCAGGAACTCCGCGCGAGGGCTCCCTGGCAAGACGTGCCCTCGGGCGGGCGACTGAGCTCGGCTGCCGCAGCCTGGACAGCACTCCCGCCGCGCTCCTGCCCGCCGCCGCCCCGAAGACCTGCCGGCTGTGGCCTCGAGGGCCCGCGGTCCAGCTCACTCAGCGTGCGCGCGCAGCCGCAGGCCCGCTCCTCGCACTGGGCCCGCTCTCCTTGGCGCCGATGATGCGGTGCGGGACTCTGGCTGGTGCTCCTTGCCGTCTGAGCTCGTGGGGCGGACTGGAAGTGGAGTGAGCAGGCTACGGTCGACCACCCTGTCCCCCTGAGAGCCACGTGCAGCAGTGCCGCCGTCGGAGTGGCGACCAACCTCGTGCCATCACTGCCTCCCCAGCCTCTCAGACGATCAAGTTCAATCCGTGCAAATTCGGACGTGTGAGTAGGTCTCCCATAACACTGCTGGCGGTTGTACTCACCAAGATACGTGATGCTATTCGGGAAAACGGTCGTGCAGGCCGCTGTTCCCGCCCCCGTCGATATCACCAAGTTTTGGCTGGAAGGAGTGAGGCAAGTAGCTGGAAGACAGCTCCAATGAAAAGACACCCTTCTAGTATGTGTACGGAACACAACGTTGCACTTCGTCTCGTGTCGTCCTCTCGTCTTCCCTGATTCCTGATGCAGCTTGGTTGAAAGGCGCGTCATCTCCCGCCGCTGACCCGAAGCTGGTGTTAAACAAACGTTGGCGACAATAACACCTACGGTAGCATTTTGCTCTTCTCCGGTACTTCGCCACCGGGCTCCTGCCGAAGGCGTCCCTTTGCAAGCACTTCGGCTTCGGCACCGCCTGTATCCGAGGCTATGCCTTCTTTCGGCCTCGCTCTGAGGCTCCGCCGCTTCCTCCCTCCTCTTTGCCTGATTCAAACTTCGCGCGGCCCGCTTAGCTTCGACCGGAAGAGGTGCGCTCTCGACCCGCGGATCAAAAAAGTATGTGTACGGAAATGGCGAAGGCCATCCATTCCTGCCTTGAGAGGACATGGAGTGCCACTGGCATCCAGCAAGATTGTGCTGACCTGCCAGAAGAGTTGGCAATATTTCTTAAAGCGCTGGACCTATATGGGGACCCGAGTTCTGGCATTGCCCAAGACTTTTCTGCTTTCGACCACAGGAAAACAAACACCGAGAACCCAGATTCGACCGCCCTGTCCCACCTGAGGCGACCGAACCACAGGTTCTCGTGGGGGGGAAGGCTTCGAGGAGGAGGACGCGTTCCGCGAGCACGAGATGTACGCCACTGCCGCCATGGAGGCGGCGGGGGCTGCACCAGGGGAGACCCCCCGACCTTCTCCCACTCCCCTTCCTCCCCCTCCGCCAGCGCCTCGGCTTTCGGAGGAACTCCGTCTGTTAATGCAGCGTAAGATGAAGGCGGCCTGCGAAAGGAAGTGGAAACGACATCGTGCTGCACGTGGACTCGGGCCGACCCTCGGTTCTTTTTTCGCCAACAGGCCCACCACCGCGTGGGACCGTTCAATCATCTTCATTCACCTTAGCACGATTTTCTTCGGACGCCACCGGCAGCTTGTTGTCTCATACCGATGCCGATGCCGATGCCTCCTCCCTCCTCCTCCTCCCTCCCCCTCCTCTCTCTCCCCCCCTCCTCTTCCCCCCAGCTCCCCCTCCGCA